GCCGTGAAACTGCTGCACAAATCTATCTGAAGTACAGCAAAGGACTTTAATATCAATTATCAAACACTGGCAAGATACTACAAACAAGAAGTCCATCAGAGGTTTCTGGGGATGAAATTGGCCCATTGGTGCCTGTGAGATACACCAGGACAGCCTCTTGACATCTGTCAGAACTGTGATGCAGACAATGACTGAATAAAATGGATAGGCCCCATACTTTGTTCAGACGCAGACAACTTGAATCTGTTTTTTATTCTAATTTTTGACAAGTTCTATCAGTTTATGGAAAATAAGATGTTGTTACCTATTTAAAATGTTTTTTATCAACTAAGATATTAAATTAAACATTGTAAATTTAAAAATCTATTAAAATTAACGTTTATTTTTAAAAGCCTTTTTCTAAATTTTTTCTCATTGAAATATAATTGGAACAACCAACCCGGTTGTGCACAAGCGCACAAGTCATGTTTAGTAGTGCATATCTTTTTAAACGAATCCTCCTGAGAAGGTTATATTTCTTCTATTTCAAAAAAACACTTTGGGGTTCCATTACACATTGAAATTAGATTGACTAAGCATAGCATTTCTTTTTTATTTAGATGAAAGTAAAAAGTGTGACAACCAACCCCGTTCTCCACTACTTGTTGTAGATAGCTCTTTGATTGATCTCATCGTGGAGTAATAGGGTTTATTTCTGACCAAAGTGACAGACTAATGGCTCTGAGCAGCGCAAACAGCAAAGTGGATTGGTGTGGTCAGTGGTGGTCAATGGACCAATTAGTTGTCCCTAAGTTAATTTCCGCTAATTTTAAGTCCACTCAAAAATTCACAAGTGTTAAACTTCTATTTTTATGCAGTTTATCCCAAATTAAAGAGCCCCTCTTACAAGCAGTGCAGGATGTGTCAAGTACCGTGTGTAGCAGTGCAGTGTCTTCAGAAGCTAAACTTCAAACTAAGAGCATATAAATGAAATAATAAATAAATAAATAAATAAATAAATAAATAAATAAATAAATAAATAAATAAATAAATAAATAAATAAATAAATAAATAAATAAAATAAAATAAAAAATTAATGATACAATTTAATAATATTTAAATAAATGAATTACAAAACCTGACTACATATACAATATGGTAGAGAATGTATTTGCCATTTGTTGTTTGACTGACTTTAAATGGTATTTATAAAAATACAAATTTGATCAAAGAAATGTTTTTATTCTGACACAGAGAGAAGTGAATGGAGGAGTGAGACAGTAGTACAGTTTAAGCATTTTTAGACTTTTGTCATTTGCATAGACATATTTTTCGATATTATTCTTGTCAGAAATCTTTGAAAACAGGCTCGTGGGTCCGTTGGTTCTTCCTGTATTGCCTCTAAGCTAACTTTGATTTATAAAATATAAAAATTAACCAATATTTTGTTAATTTCAAATATCATTGTTTCTGTTTAGCACTGTCATGGTTTAGCTGACAGGACATACACAGAGGTACAGKCGGGAATAAAGCTGAAACTAGACCATCTAAAGTAAAAAGTCTTTTTCTGGTCCTTCGAAGGTCACAGCCCTTGAATTTGGACACAGCTGAAGATATGACATGGACTGAGTGACAGTCATCTTAGTGGTTAGCGTTAGCTTTAACTAATTTTGTAATCTGTTCAGCGGTTTAGCAGTAGCAGAGCTAAGATTATTGTTTAGCAGATTAGTGAATAGTGAACCTAATTTTTTTGGTTAGCTGTGCCCACTTCTGGGTGTGGTCATAAATAAACTCCTATCTCCAATATTTYATCATGACTCATGCAAATATTTGATTTAACTTTTACCCTGCAGAAATAAAATATTTTGGCAGGAAGTGCCCCAGACTGTTCTGGAAGTGCTATCGTTACTGCTGTGATACAAAATCCCACCGATCTCTTTGAGGAGTGTAAACAATGAATATGAACAATAAAGTTTTACTAATCTGCACTTTTCTAAGATATTCAGTTTATTTTCCTTTTGGTATTCAGCTGCAGGAGAACGATGTGATCTGAACTGAACTCAGCCGGAGAAATCTTTTGATTAAAAACCWAAACCGTTCAGCACACTGAACAAAACTTTGTGCAGAAATTAATTTTGAGATGTTTTGTTTAATAGTAACATTTTAGAACAGATTATTAATTAACCTGATGTTCCAGTGGATTCTCTAATACTCGTTAAACTTAACAAGCACCTCCTTAACTCCAGTACAAATAGGCCACATCATAGTGCTGAGAAACGCCAAGAATTTCAGGATTTGCATGTGTTGGATCCCTGAGGGAATTCATATTTAAAAAGGAAGTTGAGTGTGTGTGTGTGTGTGTGTGTGTGTGTGTGTGTGTGTGTGTGTGTGTGTGTGTGTGNGTGTGTGTGTGTGTGTGTGTGTGTGTGTGTGTGTGTGTGTGTGTGTGTGTATGTGAGAGAGAAATAACTAAAAAGAAAAAGAGAGATTTGACCCACAAGCAATCTCTGGAGACCCGTCCAGCAGCCGGAGTCTAATCAGACTCTGGCTGGTGCCTGTTCTCAGGGATTGCTTTTCTCCAGCTTTCAGGCCTTAATTAGGACCCCCGTGTACTGTACCGGAGTGGGGGCTGCCACCATCGGTGACGACTGGATAGAAGTTCACCTGTGTGCGCGCAGAAATGAGCTGCAGGCGAGGATGATGACAAGAAGGCCGGAGGAGGTGGTGCAGCCACACAGCCTGGAGGTCCGGTGAGTTTAATGAATGTTGGGACGAGGTGAGAGATGGAGAAGCTCCGAGGAGACAGAACGCAAGACGTCTGGGTTGAGAGAGGGTCACAGACACAAGAGCATCTTTCATGATTTTTTCCCCTATTTTTTCCTTTTAACAATGCATTGACTGTGAACCTTTGCAAGAAGACTGGGGGGTGAAAAAAAGGAATATAAAGTCTAAAGATAGCAAAAGAAAAGAGCAAGTTCTCTGGGTTTAACTTTCTGGAATTCTCACGTCAGACACCAGGAAATCTTCAAAGCTTACACTGGCAGATGCAAAAATCAAAATATCTTCAGAAGAGATGGTATTCATACAGATTAAAGCTCCTGGCTTCAGAGGAAGAAAACAGTGAAAGGGTTTTTAATGAGAATTATTAGTTAAAAACACATTCTCAGACTTTAAACATTCAGTTTGGTTTGGCCGTAAGACATTAACCTCTTCTTGTCTGCAGTCAAAGTTTGACTGTTGGAAAGGCAACCAAAGCCAGTCTGTGCAAAGTGTTTGCCTTGTGGACAGGAAGGACCCTTAAATCAACTGGAACAGTATTTTTAGAAAACTTTCTGCTTTCTCTGTCTCCTATGTGTAGTAATAGCTTCACATTGGGTATAAAAACAGTTTTTTGGCTTATAAATTATGCTTTTTTCTAACCCAGGTATTTTAAATTGTTTTAATTCTTTCCTTCCAACAATGTCTTGGTCAATAATTCTTCAAGTTTTCTGAAAGTTTTTATTTGGACTAATTTTCCAGCCTGTTCTTGTTCCAGACTGTGAGAACACATAGTTCAGTTTGTGGACAAGTGCGGGGACAAAAATAGCATCACGATTAGCAAAAACAACCAATGAACATCTAAAAGTCTGCTGGTGAAGATTCTCAGTCTAATAAATCCACATTTTAAAAAGGTTAATTATTAGTATTAACCTTTATTTAACCCGGCAAGTCCCATTAAGATCACAGATCTYTTTTGCMAGGTAGGCCTAAAGGCAACCTAATAGAATGTTTATGGTCTGTAGGAGGAAACCAGTGTACCTGGAGAAAACCCATGCAAACCCAAGGAAAACATGCAAACTCTACACAGATAGACCCTGAGTTCAAAACAAGGATCAAACCCAAGACCTTCTTGCTGCGAGGCAGTAGTGCCAACTTGTGCTGCCAAACAACAAAAACAAAACTGGACTTTTATCTGAAAGTTATGAATTTAGGAAATAAAAAGAAAAGTCAAAAACTATTTGACAAAGAACGATATCCCACATAATGCAATTTGCCTGGTCCATTTCTGTCCAAAAAAAGTACTAACAGCCAGCCAGGATAATACAAAAATAATGGCCCATTGGTGGCCCACAAGTAGTTTGCCAGGAGTCGTCTGTGCATTGGCCAGCACCCCATAAAGCAAATTACAACAGGACCAGTAGTGGCATGCCATCTTAAAAACAGTACCATCATTGCCAGACTCCACATCTAGTTGATAAACCACTTGCCCTGGCAGCAGGGCCAGCTTGACACCACATCTGGCCCACACCTGTCTGATATGTGGGATGTGTCTTCCTTCACTGATCATCTACTACATTTTCAGCTCTTTAGCACCAACACAGTGGTTCCCAAATTAAATTAAATGCCCAAATGACCTAAGTCTGAGTGATTTAAACAGAGAACAAATGTTTAAAAATAAAAAAAAATTAAACTATCAAGACCACCTTAAAAAAATACAAAAAATCTCATTAAAAACAAAATATGACTAAATTAGACTTTTGCAGGGTACCTAACATAATTTGAAGGAAAAGCTCCTGAAGAAATGTGTAGTTTTGTTATATGTGTCAAAAATAAGTGTGACACCAGACAGCAGACAGGTCTTGGTGTTTCACCAGAAGTCACTCGTTTGCAGAAATCACAGAAAGTCTGCCTTTAGTATTCATGAAACGTCCCCAAATCCAAACTTTTTCTCTGCAACACCTGTTTGATAACCCACCACTTCTCTGTGCTCCTTGCTTTGTCTTTGAAGAGTGATTGAAATTCCTCACACCTACACCCACTCATGCAGTTATCATCAGCCCCTAAGCATGCAACAAAACCTTACAGAATGCAATAAATCCTCCAAGAATAGCAATCTGAACCGGAGGTTGTGCAAAAGATATGTATAAGAAAGCAAGAAACCCGAAGAGGCTAATAGGTTTTCTTTCTGGTTTTGGTGCATGAAATGGGAATTAGAATTTAGAAGTCACAGAATGAGAAACAAAATATTTGTGCTTCTTTTTCTTTAATGAAATTCTTGGACAAATATTTCAGTGATTAAATACCTTTTGTAACAAAAATATAAATGCTTTTGGTCAACAAAACATAAATGATACAGCATTAGAATCACACTGCAATGAGAAACTGTAAAAACTGGATGATGATTAATTCTAGGTGCTTGGTGCTGGCTGCTGTACGGCCTTACATTTTGGACTTCCACTCATAGTACTGCAGCTTAATGCTTCCTCTCTCCCCAAAGACTACTTTGACATTTTTCAAGGTCTTGCTTTCAAACCATGCCTTGATTATTTCCTTCTAAAGTCGGCTACACAGACTTTGGAAAAAACYAATCCCATACCCTGAAATCTCTTTTTCATGAGAAAGTCAGCAATAATCTACAGCAACACTAACAAAGTAATTGTGATCCCAAAGATGAAATTATTTCTAGCGACAAACAGGATATTAATGCTGGTGAATTATGATTACAAGTGCATTGATTCTGTTTATTAGAACTATATGGAACTGCATTTGGTGTCTCATTTGACTAACTGGAGACTGCTAACCATTTCTCTACAGAATGGTATTCATGCCTATATTTCCCAGTACTTGTGTTCTCCTGGGGTTAATAATGAAAGTCATGAAAGATGCTTGGCTCCTTCTTAAAATGCCTTTTAAAGCAAATGAAAAAAACATACTGAATTACAAGGTAGACATTGGACTGTGGAACATAAGGATCTGTGGAACATAAGATACCGGGGAACATTGGGTTGGGTGTATTGGGGTGAACTAAGGTACCTGGAAACATAGAGACCAGGGAATAGATATTGGTGTACTGGGGGGGGGGGGGGGCATAGAGATGGGTACTGTATACCAAGGGGAACATAGATAGTGGGGATCATAGGGGTGGGTGTGGTAGAGAGAACACAGATACCAGGAAAAATACGTAGATTTAGTGGTGTACTGGAGGAACATACTGTAAATACCTGGAAACATTGCTGCCGGGGAACATGGTGATAGGTGTACTTAGGTATGAACATGGGCGAACGTAGATACCAGGGAAAATGGATATGGGTGTACTGGTGGAACATGGGTAGCTACTGGGAAACATAGGGATGGATATACCAGTGGGTACATAGGTACCTGGGAACATAGGGATGGGATTACCATGGAGAACATAAGTATGGGGAACACAGCGATTTAAGGAACATAGGGATGGATGTACCAGTAGGAACATAGGTACCTGGGAACATGGGAATGGGAGTACCATGGTGAACATAAGTACTGGGGAACACAGGGATTCGAGGAACATAGGGATGGGAGTACCAGGGGGAACATGTACTGTAAATGCACTGAGGGAATTGGGATCTGAGGAATATAGGTACTGGGTACATAGGGTTGATGACCCCATAGAATGTRTACATCTTCCCTGTGCTGTGTAAAAATATGTCCAAAACTTATTCCCATTTAAAGTCATGCCCCACCATTTCGTAGAACTTGACATTATAAGGTCTGTAGAAGTCCCGCAGTTGCTCAATAGCATCTCTGTCAATCTGCACATGAGTTCTGCCCTTCGACTTGCCCAGGCAGCGAGGCGAGCTGCTGCTCTCTGGCTTTTTAAGGCAAGGAAAGCCCTTGGTGCGATTGAAATAAAAGTGCTTGTCTGTGACGATGCGTTTCAACCCGAGAAAGTCCTGCACCCGGGCCAGTTCCCCCGCCGGGTCTGTGATGAGACGCTCGCCGCTGACAAAGTGAATCTGAGCCAGGGGAAAGTAGCGGAGCCAGTTCTCAAGGTGCAGGGCATACAGGCCAATGCGAATCGCGTTCCAGGACATGTCAACCATGCCTAGGCTCTGGTTTTCAAAGGCCAGCTCCTGAAAGCTTGGTAGGTCGGGTGTTTTGGTTAAAGTCTGAGTGTAGTCCGATATTGCTCGGGTGACGGGGTCACGCACCACCACAATGAGCTTCATATCCTGGGACATGGCAGAAATCCTGCGTGGAGTCTCATTTGTCACAAAGTAGCTTGGAGTCTTCTCCATTGTGATTTGGCTTTCAAGGGTCCTTGGCATTAAACCTCTGAATGGATACAAAAACACAAAGTAAGATTTCCAAGTTTCAAATAAACAACTCAACCAGATCATCTGGGCTGCTATTTTCAGCCCTGAATTACCACAAAGCCTATATTATTAAGAGAGAAAGGACATCAGGTCCTTGCATTCACTCTGTCAAAAAAATATATGATTTATTAAGGCCAAGACTACACAAGTGAATTGCATAAAATCACCTGAGCTGAGCTCCAGCTAAGCCCTGAACCCACTTTTCCAACATAAATGAAGCAAAGTCATAGTGGTGCCTTGTCACTGGAGACTTGTGTTGTAGACAGCTTTTCTGTGCATCAACCCAGAACTGTTCAGGAGYAATAAATCACCATGAATACAAACAGAACACGGATAAAAAAGTAACTTTGTTAGGTTACTGCTGGGTCTTCAAAATAGGACACTGTGGTATTTGAAAGAAGTGYGTGAAAAGTTCATAGGCAAAGAGGTTGTGGGTTAATGAAGTATTTTGTTGTACAAATATTAACCCGTTTTTAAGTGAAAAAATAATTGTTTGAAGTGTTTTGTTCATTATTCAATGTTTTCTTATTGTTTGGAAATTCATTAATTTTGTGCCTATGTTATGATTAAGAGCTATTTTAAGACCATAATTGGGTCTTTTGAGGGGTTATTTTATTTCTAGACCTTTATTTATTCATCGGTTATTTTTTTTTTAAATTTTCAATCTGGAGACTGGTAACTCGTTGCTGTTTGAAGAATACAAACATCGCTATCAAAAAGCCACATTAACCACTGTATTATTTTAAATCCATTTATGACCCTGTTTATGACATTGTGTTGTATTTAAAGCTACAGTATATAATGTAACTGGTCATTATTTTTAAAGRGAATGTTTAGTAGATCCTTTCAAGACTCCCGTCTTTGTCTCTGGTAACTCATAGTGTGGTCCTAATCTCAAGTTTGGAAATGACTGCCGAAATGTGGGCAATAATGTAATTGCATGTGTTTACCTAAATAACTCATCAATTAGTAGACAGATGTTAATGACTCTCCAATTCAAAATGGACACTACAGCTGATCAAACGCAAAACTGACTATAACTCGGTCAGTTTTACCCCTRCTGAGCTCAACTTTAGCATCAATTGTTGGAGTAAACTCTGACCGTTTGCAAAAYATCTTCAGAACCACATCTTTGGAATTGACCCAGTTCATTGCGGTTGCTACAACTCATAATCCTTTTAAAAGAATTGCCCATGACTGGGTCGGTTTTATACATATTAAGATAATATTTGGTGTGGTAGTAGCTGAGACGCAGCACCAACACTTACTCAGAGTGCRAACAGATTGTGCTAGATCTCAGAATTTTGTATGCGCTCGAGCAGAATATTTTTACGATTTGACCAAAAAGGCTAAAACACCATCTTTTTCTAAACTAAGATGACCTCAGTCTAAAACTCTGGCATGAAATATGATGGGCAACATGCATTCCTTCAGGAAATCTTAGGCTTTATTTAATTTAACTGAAAGCCATAAGTCATGCACTAGTGACAAATTCATTTTTAATTTTTTTTTTTCCAATTTCAAAATCTTTATTTCAATACAGACATAAAACAAACAAACAGAAAATGTGTAAATGTACAC